AATGCATCATCGGAATATCCCTCTTTATCATGCTATTAAAATATTACGCAAGCGGAAGATACTATCGTAGTCTTTTTTCTTCGGAGAAGCCAAGGGTTTATGTTCCTTGAACCTACATTCTGCTGAAGTTATCGGTTTGATCTTAGTTTTCCAGTCGTGTTCTCAACTGTGTCTATTGTCACACATATATTTTTTTTTATTATATCTTACGTTATACCAAAGTCACGCGCGCGGTAGATATAAAAGTTCAATGATAGTAATAGTCATTGAATTTATATATAGATAGATATTTTCAAGATATTTTTAAAAATAATTTTAGTAATTAGAATATAAAATTCACTGCTTTTTCAGACGGAAAAAATAAACACAGTTGCCTGATATTTTTAAGTCATTTAATACTTAAGGAAAAAGAAAGGAATTATTCGTAAATGTAATTCTATTTTTTATCCTACTATCTAAAGTCGACAAGTTCTTGAGACATCCGCTTTCGATATCGTGCCACAATATTTGCTGTCACGGCACATGAAAGTTAAGGGCGAAAAGTGAAACGACGTCGCTGTGTCTCGACGCGACAGCGCGAGAACGAACAGTACGGCCGTATCAGGACCGCAATTTGCCACGACACTTAATATCGAGCGGGCCTTAAATCCGACTGCCATTCACGCGTCGCGTCAACAGCTCCATCGATGGAGCAATCCGCCATCTTTGGGCCATGGATCATTGAATAATTCATAATTTACGGGTGGAGGAAGGGGCTCGTTAAAGCCGCGGGTATCTCATCGGTTTCCTGTTCGGCTCGTTCTCGTACAAACAAGAGAGAGACAGAGCTGGGAAGGAGGGAGGGAGGGAATGACGAAAAAAAAAATCCTCGCTTCTCGATGCGACACACAAAGGTACACCCGCTCCGAAGTAAACGTCGTCGTGACGCTCGAAGTCGTCTGACGGGTTTGCGCCGGTGCCGGATGCCACTATCTCACGTTTTCGTTCTTAGGCGATTCGAGGACGCACGTGAATCAAATTACGGTCATCCGTCTTTCGCTCCGGCGAGCATCTTTCGCACATTGCCTGGACGTCCCGTCAGGACAATTCGCGCTGACAGTTTTGTTTTTCAGAGTCGCGAGGTCATTTACGCGCGCTATCCTGCGAGCCATCTCTCGGTCATCTCGCAGCAAGTGAAT